GGATTGTTGAATGACTTTATGATTTGACGGTTGAATCATTTTCACACGCCTTGTCAAACGTAGTTGCTAAAACGACCAATCCTTGGAAAACAATTGGAACACGTATTCATTACCAAAGTATTGTAATAACGTCGCTATGAATTGTATTTAGCCGTATGAACTCTGCGCTCTAATTATTGAGCTGTTTTTGTTTTAATCTGCCACACAACCACACGAGGCTGTAGTTTTGCATGTCTTCCGCGTCTAGGAACGCAACTTCCCACACGAATAAAGCCGTATTCAAAACCGATCGCCACATTTTAATAATAACATTGGTAACTCTATATGTAGTGTATCAGGCACACTTGCAAATCTCCGCGTCGAACGGTTACCACATCGGACGGGCAGTAGCCACACTCATAATGGCTGACTTTTAGTCTGGACATCACGGCGGAACAAGACAAATAGAGCTTCTTAACTAATTCGGGCAACCAAACCCCTCTCCATCTCATTTTGCACAACAAAACGCAAACGTATTGTTATTAGTTTTGCAAAATTTAAGCGGTCGAAAAATAGCCTGAGCGACGCAGTATCCTTCGAGATGGCGTCGGGGGCTAGTTACCTTTCTGTGCAACAAATGATGCTCTTTTATCTAAAGGGCCTATTTAGCAAAATATTCGTTTCTCTATGTCCAATATGCAGCAAGTGCAGACAATCGACTAACCCCCAAAGGACATGCAAACTGTGTCTCAATATTTGCTTGAACCATTTTTTCCGGGTTTGCGCTTGGGGCCATTTTTTGAGGGCACATTTTGATCGGGACCATTCTGTCCGAGACCATTTTGTCCGGGACAATTCGATCCGGGACGATTTTGTCCGGATCCCAACGCGGCCAGATCACATTACGAAATGTTACCTTCACATGAAGCAGGGAACTGTCTACAGTTCCGTGTTTCGTGTTACCTGTTCTATAGTATGTTTCCTTGCATTCAAATATTCAATGTTTCACCCAGAAATATGACATAATTAATCATCACACCACTCGACATCGAGGCAGCACGCATGGGCAGTGTCGGAATTTGTACCGAGCAAAACGCGGAAAACATTTGTGTCTTCACATTGAAGGCAACAATTATCACAAACAACCGTGGAATGCAAACGGAACGGTCGCCTGGCATTGTTGCCGTTACACTTCATTAGGACGTGCGGCTTCGAGCTTGACTGAAGAAGACAACGTGAAAAGCACATCACGTAAATTGCTATATTCGATTTGTCTTTGACGGTCTGTTTAGACATTATAGAAACCGCTGCTATTCGCTTTCGTTCCTTACATTCTCTTGCCAGCACCACTTGGCACAAGCTTTCTTGTAGTTAAAGTGTCATTTCAACATTTACGCTCCCTTATAGACGACCATAACCATGCACCAAACGAGGCTTGTAAAGGACCAGCTGCGCGTATCGCTGAAAAAGACGTCCAGCCCGCCCGTGCCGTTTAACGAGGAACTTCTCCGAACCTGTTCTACAGTATGTGTTCAAATTATTACATCTATCGCGTCTACGAAGCATTACGCAAAGGTAACCAAACCAAATCACTAAATTTGTTGTAGGTGCCAGTTGAAGTCGCAGCAGAAGTACCCACGTGTGCCAGCCTGAAGGATGCTATGGGCAATGCGCTCAGCGCGGCCACAGCCTTTCTTCATCAGCAACTCAACTCTGCAACTCAACGACACCCACAAAAAGACAGAAAGCGCAGATCCGTTCCTGATCACCGTCGACCGCAGTGATCCCTCGTCCTGCATTCTTACCCTCGCAACACGAGATGGAGGAGAGCGGCTGTCGTCAGTCAAAATTATTTTTGCGGACTTCTTTCTTTGCTGTACCCTACATTTATGACCGACTTGTAACTCTGCATGTTGTAACTGACGGCGTGCGTACAGTGCAGCCGTTTACGTGTTGTTGTCGGGTCGGTCGCGACAAATCTATGTCCGTGCGTTTGAAGGGCTCTAAGCTGCATTCACATCGGCTGGAATTGTTTTCGCGACGCCTGACATTTTCACGGCGGATTTTGAGCAGGCGCTTATGGGTGGTCTGCGCGCCGTGTTTCCTCAAGCTGCTCATCGCGTGTGGAACTTTCGTTTTACGCAAAGAGTGGGGGCTTCCGTACAGAGGGCTGGGTTCTAACGCGTATAGTGCTCGATTACTTTGACGCTACTTGGATGAGTGGCATTTCTTAACTTGAACATTGGAACCACCATGAAAACAAGGAACCCAGTACCAACAACCGCATCGAAAGCATCAAAGGCACGTCGGGAAGAGCGCACCCGAACCCCTTCGCGTTCATTGATTTAATCAAGAGAGATAAGGCCCAAACAAAAGTAATCTTGCTTTAACGGGGCACTCACACACCCAAGGTAGTATCTGTTTTTGTTGTCAAAAACAACGAAAGTTGTAGTCACAGACAATATTAAAATTAAAAAAGTTGTTTCCACGCGCGCGCGCGCGCGCTTTTTTTATTATGGCGTTTTTCTCTCTCGCTCCTAACCTCCTCGTTTCTCTATATTTGCGACGTAATCGATTATGAAATTTAGAAGCTTTGTAAGCGACATTTCAATAATATTTACTAGCAGTATTCGTAAAACATTTTTTAACGCAATTGCGAGCACATTACTGCCCTTCTTTTTAAAATACCGAAAATCAAAGTCCGGGCCCCGGGGTGATGCCGCCTCCTGGCTTTTTTATCCTTCCTCGGAAAACATGGAGGCTTTCGACGCAGGTAGTACTGAGGATGATCGGTGAGTCGGGGAATCAGACAAAGTTCTTTTTTTTTTCAGGTGCTTGACGACCTCTCAGACTTCGGAAAGGAAATCGTCAAACGGTCAAAACAACTGTGTTTAGGGTGACCACCCGTCCCGCAACTCGGCGGGACTGTCCCGCATTGAGGGCTCGCGTCCCGCGTCCCGCAAGAAATATCAAAATGTTCAAAATATCCCGCATTTCACATTGTCGTAGCACTCACTACGTAAATTATGGCGCTTCTGAAGGGCGGGCCACGGGGTAGCGCGGAGGTCATTAATAAACGTGTGAATCTTAATGGTGTGCCATTTTCCATACAAGCACTGCGGAAAGCGACCATCGTTCTTGCAGGAGACGGACGTGCATGTGCCGTTGCGCCTCTCCGCTTGATGGCAAAATATTGCGAGCGAAAATTGCTCTTCTAAAGTTGAAAAATAACTATTGTAATTATTTGCAAATCATACTGTGCAATGCGAAAGGGTTGTTCTGGAAAGCTTTTTTTTTTTTTTTTTTGGTGAGGACGGCTACACAAGGCAAAAACCTGCAACTCACAAAGGTGGAAAAAGCAACACAAGGTTCTAATTTTATGCAAGAGCATGTTAGTATAAGAGTAAGTATCGTCAGGAAACAAAATGCCGTAAAAGATTTACTGTTTCTTATTTCCCTTTCATGCATTGGGGTCTGCTGCAGTCGATTTTTATGTTTTAGACTTAGACACACTAATGTCTAAGTTGTATGTCTTAGACATACAACTTATTCTTTCAACTTAGACATACAACCGTAATAAAATATTTGTCATTACAATTACACACAAAATGTATCAATGTGACGGAAAAATAATTTTAGCTTAATTGCCGCCACACAGGATATCGGGGTGTGCGTGATGGTGAATTTTTTTAATACATTTACCTTGAGTGGGGAAAATACCGTCCTCCTCTTCCTCTCTCCCCTCCCCCCCCCCCCCCCCCCCCCCCGCCCTCCCCCCCGGGTCAGGGTGTCCCGCATTTCGCCTGCAGGAAGATGGTCACCCTAACTGTGTTTGGTGTCTGTGTACCGTAGTTTCGGTTGTGACTCCGCCGGGACAGCCTTCCACTCAGAACCGCTGGGACATAGCTCCTCTCGTCGCTCACAAAAGTCCACTGCGCATTCTATTCGACCATATATTGTTCAAAGGAATTTTAGATCGCTGAAAGAGCCTTAAAAGAACTTCAAACTCGAAAGTGAAACGTCGTCTGCTCACAGCGATGGGCGGCACGCACGGAGCGGTTGATCGCGGGACGCGGACGAACGCGATGCTGAGGCGTGAGAGAAATTCGAGTTGCAGGACGACTCAATCTTTGACGTCACTGCACTGGCGTGGAACACGCGGGAACTTCAAATTCGGTTTCTGGAAATTATTATTATTTTTTTTACTTCTCAAATACTGAGTTCCCAAGTTTCGAATTTTGAGGGTAATGTCCAGGCATCGGTTTCAATCGTTTCGGATAATAAAGGAAAAATGATTTTGACCTTTCAGTGTTCCTTTAAGTGGGAAACGGGGGAGCCGTACGTGCGCAAGGCCGCAAGTGCCCGAATAAAGACAGTAAACTGGCGGAGCTTGGAGAACATTTCAAAAGGGGCGTCATGTTCCTTTTTCAATCCCTGAACTAGGCCCAAGTTTTTCTAGACTGTCAGCATTGTTGGGCGATTTAGCTGGACAAACAAGTGTGTGGAAAGAGTTACAGCTGATCCGTTGTACTAATTTATGATGTCAGAGTACAAAAACCGAGATGTTTGTCGGAAACAGACGAAATATCTTCCTTCGAATGTTGTGAAATGTTTTAAACCAAAGGAAAAAAAGGAGAGAGGGAGGGGGGGGGGGGGTAGGTTAGACATTCTACGACTCTCAGTGCGTACCTGTGCGCATAAGATATATCTAATGGTATTTTAGGGTTCGAACCTTATGAGAAGGTTCAAACCGGGAGGACCAAATGAGAATGGTACGAAATGCTCACGGTCCAAGTGCGAATGGGGCGTTTTCAGATAACGGGCAAAATGAGAATGGGCCCAGTTGCGAAACAAACGATTCGGATCTTAAGATAAGGTTCAAACGAGGAGGACCAAATGAGAATGGGACGAAAAGATAAGGTCCAAGTGCGAATGGAACGTTTCGAGGTACACCACTTTTGATGACGCGGTGAACGCACGAGCCGTAGACGCGCTCTGCACCGTAGGCAAGTGTCACCCACCGATGTGTTGAACCGTGACGGGCAGCTGAAGTAGTCTTCCTGCATGTCCGGTAGAAAGACGAACGGCGGTGCATTGGGCACCGTGCTCAGTGATCCGGCGATCACCAGTCCCGCCACTCCCACGCCCAGTGAGCTCAGCGCAGACGGAAGGTTCACGTCGGTGTACAGGTCCACAAGCAGCCACAATCCGCGCCACTGTGTGATCACGGCGACGCCCATCACCTACGGAGAGTAACGAAGAGACACATTCACATTCTTTTAATACATATACTTTTTTTTTTATTTGTCGTTTTAACCAGCCCTTTTTTTTTTCTTTTTTTTTTTCTGAGGAATTCATAGAAATACCTACAGGATAAAAACACTCCGGCACGCGGGAACCAATGCAATTCCAAAAATATATACAAACTACGGAGGAAAAAAACAACAACAGAGAAACTATTATGTTCCTGCAATATTTAATAGCTTGCCTAAAGACACCCTAAGCCTGTCGCCTAAGAGGCAGATGTATAAAAATAAAAGAGTGGTGTTGTTTGTTGATTTAAAGTTCTGAACAATGAGGTATTAAATGCGTAAAAACTTAGTGTTTTCTATCGAGTTCTTGTCATTATCTGTTTAAATTCGCAATTTTTGTTTTTGCAACCATTGAATGATTGTTATTGTCGAAGTGGGTGTTATCTAACAAGCGAATTATCTATTTGGGCGCGAATTTCGTTGTTGACTATGTTTTTTTTAATATTTCTTTCGTGTCTTACTTACATTTAACCATCATTTGTGTCTGCATGATAAAAATGTCTGTACTGTCATGTCCTGCATGAAAGCGTGCCCACGCTTAAGCAGGTAGGATTGTATCAGAGTTTTTTTTTTTTTTCGGTAATCAAATAAACTTATCTTATCTTACCGTGAGCCGCTCGAGCAAGACTAAATTGTGGGAAGCCATCTTATACTGGAACATGGAGCGCGTTCCAAAATTTACTCGATCACACTCCAGAGCCTTTGTACTTTTGCGTTCAAAAACCTCTTCGCATCCTGCGTGAATCTATCCGTGTTATCACGTTATCTGACCTGCGGGAGCGGCTCGGATCTGTGCATGTAAGATTCGGGAAGACAGTCGTGGTAGCTAGCATTTGGTGCAACAAGGAATTCAACTGCGCATGCACGTTTTGCGCTTAATTAAACCTTCTTTTGCACGTATCGTAAATTCAGAGGGACATAGTTACCTCATTGAGTTCGTGCTTACGGCGTATTTCTCCACAGTCAATGCCGGACTTAAAAAGCGTTTCAGGGCTATTCTAAGCCGGTTAGAACAGAAATTTCAGTCCTTCGTAAGACCAGAAGGCACAATAGTGTGGGGATCAAATTCGTTGGACTTCAGTGTTTCACTTTCACCGTCTGGGTTGTGTCCGAAACACATTGGAAGTATTGATGGATGACCAGATAGTCCAACATTTGCGAGTTCGTTTTTATACCTGACATGACGTTACTCGTACTTCAGGCTCGATTTTTATTACAATTTTAATTGTATATAACATTAGCAGAGTTTATTTGCCAGTTATGTTCTATTTAAAATGGTTAAGAGCCTCCAATATACCCGTTGCAGTTTTCTCGTCGTCTCAATCTACCCCGTGTCCCAATTAGCGGCCATGCTCTTTAAATCGACCGCAAAAATCGGTTTCTTAACCTATCGCGTTCCGATTTTGTACAGCGTTGGCCACCAGGTGGTGCATTCTTTCTATAAAATTCGCAAAGAGCGAGCTTACCTGAGGAAAAGGTAAAGAAAGAAAAAGGCTTAACTCCTATGGAAACGCAGCGAAGCCACCGGTCTTCAAACCATAGGGCTGTTTGAAGACCGGTGGCTTCTCTGCATTTCCATAGGAGTTAAGCCTTTTTCTTTTTTTATCTTTTCCTTAGGTAAGTTAGCTCTTTGCTAATTCCATAGAAAAAAATTGCACCAGTTGTGGCAAACGCTGTACAAAATCGGAACGCGATAGGTTAAGAAACCGATTTTCGCGGTCGATTTGAAGAGCCTGGCCGCTCTTTGGGACACGCAGTAGGTCGCTTTGACACTCACCATATGTTTCCGTGCATAACTTCACAAGTCGTTTTCTGCCTACGAACGTCTTTATTACTGTGCTACCATGCCCTGTGGGTTTAACGTTGCGTGTAATTGCTTTTTGGGCAGAAAACATTTAAAAAATAATGTTTGTTTTTTTCTAATTGTTTAGCAGAGCACAATTAGGGGATCAAAGGCATCCTTACAAAAACCACATGCACTTATACGGTCCATATCCTGTAATACCGTATAAAAAACATATAACACATTATATGAATTTTTTCAACGAATGACGTACGGACCATTTGACGTTTGGCCATGGCTGTCTACCATACTTTACCTTTCACGATAACACTTTTTTTTCACTGTCTTCAATAAATTTTCAATTATCAATCTCTTAATTGAATATTAATGGCGCACAGCACAGAAAATATATTCTGTGTATATACTTGCCGTTTATGAGATCCACTAAAATTTCTATAGTCGGCTGATAAAACTGCTTGATTTTCAGATAGGGGTGCTTTCTATGGTATTATGGGATGTTGTTGTATGGGTACAGATCACTCCTTTTTTTTCAGAAGAGATATCTGGACGTGCCCCAGAATCATGTACAACGCTGAAGCATTCTTTCATATCTTGATTCAATGTTACTCGCCTGGGTGTAAGTTCTTGAGACAACCATGAAGAGATGTGGGTTACTCTTTCCGAGGACATCAAGAGACTCTTGCATCAAATGAAACCACAGCATGAGCAGCTGGCCGCAGATGAACGTGACCCAGCCGCTGACTATAGGACTCTCGGGGAGCACCAGAGCATCTAGAAGCATCCAGAGGCCGCGCCAGTAGACGACCACCAGAGGTGTCACCACCAGGATGCTCAGGAGGTGGTCGAGGAGGACCAGGGCACTCCGGACCGACACGAACTTCACGGACATGGCTGCTGGCGAGTGTTCCGCGACGGCGACCGGACGACAGCGGAACCACAGTGACTAGTTGTCACCTAGACACGTCCGGACCGACGGGGCCTTGAACGTTGACGCGAGAGTTCATGCTCGTTAAAACCGATGTACCAAGGACATGTCCTAGAAGGGAAGAGACGAAGTATACCATCAGGTTTTTCGGGTACATTTTTGTATTGCATAGGTTAGACAGTGGAGAATATAATAAAATGCGATCTCATTCTCATCTTGTTCTATCTTCCTGTAGTCGCTGGTAACCGAAGAAATTTAGAGTTTGGCTTATTACGCTTCTTACTTCCAATTCTTTCTTCGACATCCCTATCGACAAATGTCACAATCTCATCGGCTGCAAAGCAATAATAATATTCTCAGGACTCGCCACACGTTTCGTTTCCTGAGCTCTCATCGACTGTTTCTTGCCTCGCGAGTCGACGGCGGCTTAATGCAAAGGCACAGCGCCTGTGTCAAACTTCCGTAGACTTGAGATTCACAAACCGGTGAAACAATATGCAGGTTTAGGAACAACGAGATTTGCTGAAGACTGTTGATGTCGCCTAAAAAGCGAATTTTTTCGTACGCGTCGTGGGACTAGGATATGTTAGAGGCGTTTTGGTCGTGCATTAACAGTCATTTCAGACGGCCAAGAAATTAGAGGCAAAAGTTGGACAGTTGCGGGTTTATCACTCCCGTACCTTCTCTGCACATCACGAAAGGTTTATCGGAGCTGTTCTCCGCGCTGGATGTTTCCGGCACTTTCCCTATACTCCGCGTCACTAGTTCCGTGCAATGCAGGCGAAGGCAACGCCAAGTGAGGAGAGATGGGGCGAGGACTATGAAGGCGAGACGGGAGAGGAGGGCAATGGAGAAAGGGAGAGCACTAGGAACGTTAGGGAGGAGATGAGGTTTCTCTTCTCCTCCCCAGCCTTCCTAGTGCTTGCCCTTTTTCTCCTCGCTTGGCGTTGCCTTCTCCTGTACTGCACATAACTAGTGACACGGGGTACACTATAGAAGTTTTTGAACCATATGTTTCTGTTTGAATCATACGTTTTCGTTTTATCCGAATACAGTTCGAAGCTTGAGATGTTGGACTATTTCTGCTAGTTGGCCCTTTTGTATTGGCACACATGTCGTGAGCTTGTGACGCGAAGAAGGAACCAACAAAAATTTGTCGTTTTGAGAAGCTCGTCCTTTGTCCACATTCGCACACCCCTACCTCGGGTTTGAAAGTGTAGATGCTGTTCAAGGTAGGGTTTGGTGTCACTCGTTCGAAGGCGCCAGGGCTCGTGCATACGCCCATTCCCCCATCGCCAGCGTCTCGTTCCCCGAAGTGGAGGCGGGAGACGAAGTAACAGGAAGGAAAAAGTAGTTGATCTATATGGCTATAAGTAGTGGTGAGGCCCGAGAGAAACGCGTCCACTGTCCCAGGTAAGAAAGGTCGGACGTGCGAAAAGAGTGCGGGTTGCACGCCAACTGTTTCGACGTTTATCTTGGTCGTTGTCCGCAGAGGAATTCAAGGTCGATGTGAAGAATGCCTACAAACTATTCTCCTTCTACTATATTACACGTTCATGTGTACCCCCTTTTTTCACAAGGTTTGTTCACAGACGCGTTGCAATATTTTTTACTGCGAACTAGATATAGCAGCCGCTTTACTGGTATGGGCGATTTTCATCACGTGTTTTTGAACCTCATTCACGGCTTCGTTTTTAGACCGCGAGGCGCTGTGAATATCTTACTCGCTCGAGAAGGCTCACGGCGAGCGAACTTGCCACCACGGCTTTCTGTTCTAGCCGCTAGGTACTATCGATATCGCTGAAGTAGCCATTACATACAATGAATAAACTTTGGACTATGAATTCATGTTAAAGTCTGTGACAGCCCGAGAACGTAACAGAAGCTCCGGTTCCAACGTGCAATCGTTGCCCTCTGCCGAGCTTTGGGTGCGCGTGTGACGAAGCTCTATCAAGGGCAGGTAACTCGTGCTGAATTTTTAACCAGTCACCGAGAGAAAAGGTTATTTATCTCGTGTCACCCCCTGAAGTCGGACTTTGCTGAACACGGATCGTAACCGTAACAAGAAACATTAAAGGGGCCATTGACAGCAAGCTGTTGTCGGTACACTGTTTTGCCTTATAATTATTTTTAAAAAAATAGTTAGCTTTCCTCGGCGTAGCTGATTAACAACCGGCGGTGGTAACAAACACTTATGTAGGTCAACAAGGCCCACCAATGGATCTCATATTTTACTCTTTTCTATCAATGCCTGTGCTATGATTTGATCTTGAATGGATATTTTGTTTGAGCAGCGTAATGTGGGCACTTGAACCCCCACTTTGTGTATACACGGATATTCCACCTTGTGTCTTCTTGGCGCCGCGACAGATATGCAGGCACAACGTGCTTAATGAAGTTGAGCTGAATCTCACCTGTCACATCATTCTTCCCGCGTTTCTTGGTAACAAAAAAGGGCAGAAGTGGCCGAAGTTAAAAAGTTTCGATGCACGACATGATTTCGAGTACATTTAGTGTTTGCTTCATTTGTATCGACGAATGTTCATTTTTTATGGTGTGGTCTGACATTTTAAACATTAGGCACACCTAGTTTTTGAAACCCCGGTTAACTCGTACTTTTTAGGAAACTCCTAATCTAAAATAATTCGTCCATTCCAAAGCAGAACTAATGTGCTTCACTTTTCAGTCTTTTTCTATAACGAAAAATGGGTGAAACCTTCTTCACAAAGAACTGATTATCTCAAACTCCCTCGGCATTTCTTCATAACCTGCAACACCTGTATAACTGATTCTTGTGTTTTCTCGTCAGCGTTGCGCGAAACATATTTAAACGTTTTTGTTAAGCAAACGTATTTATATTTTTTGTCCGTTTCGAACTACGCGTGTTATTGCTTCAGAATGATGCATGCTATATTTAATAATCTAACTCTTTGTGCGTGTTTTTAAGCCCATTGCTTTATCCTATGACCTATAAGATAAAAAAAACTCTTGGAATGATTTCAAAGCCACACTCACACTCCTGATAGATGGTACAAAAGGCAGTCCGCAGACATTGTCTGTGTTTGTTTCATGTATGAGGTCCCATTGGTCACATAAGAACTGTCTACAGAGATGTTCAAAGTTTACGTGAACAAAACATTCTTGAGGCGTACGTATCCGCAGATAATTCTTCATCATGTCTGCAACGAGCACTGTATCGTTTGTATGACTTAGGAGCGTCGTGACTGAAGGGTCAAGGGTAGTTAGACATACACGCGTAAACGATTAAACCAAGGTGGGTCCTCTGTAAGCGGAGTTGCCGTGTGTTTTTTTTTTTTTACGCGAGCTGGCTCACATCCGTTAGTCGCGCATCCTGTCCCAGATCACGCAGGCGACACTTTCCTGTCGACAACGAGACCTCTAAATCTTGGCGTTTGACGACAACAGCTCGGGCTGTATAAGATAACGCGAAGGCAATTTAGTGCAGGGCCTCAGCTGCAACGTGCAGTTGCCCTATAGACGCGGAGTTCGGTCACGTCGGCGGCTTACCACCGATAGAGCGCGTTTTGATGTCCTCCGGCTTTGTTGACTCCGAGGGCAGCGAAACGGACCTGCTGGACCATGGGTGCTAAAGCACCGTGCTTGGGTGCGTTTGAACGCGCCCAAGTACGTTCCCGTTTGCGGTTTTGATTTCGGAGAGCGTGTTGTTCCCGCGTGTACTTGCGGCGTTCGGAGCAATTTTAACTTGTAGCGATAAAATGCGAAGGTTTTCACCATGTACTTAAGACTATTGGTTCTGCACGCTAGAGTATTTAATCAAATTGTTCTTGCAGGCCCCACACCGGTCGAAGTGTCCGCCTCACCGTACGGTATATTTCGACGGGGCAATCCGCTACAACTCGATTGAGGCCCGTGCGTCCGATCCTTATTCGGAAGTAACACATCAACTCAATCCTCTGACGTCACGACACCGCCGTGGCGCTGCTGTCGCCATTGCACATGCGCAGTACACTCCATCTCGAGCTAGTCCGGTTCCTGCTCGTACCTGGTGCGGGAAAATGCGGGATTGCTCATCGTGAGAATGAGAACTGCCGGCCTCCAGCACGAGCTCCACGCCTTCCGTCGTGCTCTGGCTCCACGCGCGCGCACGAGGTGCAAGAAATGCCGAAGCGTTGTCGAAAGTATGCGGAGCGCAAGTTTGTCTGCTTCTTGAGCAGGGGATGTGGTGACGTCAGAACGCCGAGCTCTGATTGGTTCTGATAGAAAGATAGTGGGTAGACCTCAAGGCAGCTTGCTTTGAAGTCTACCCACTATCCTTCAATCAGCTAGCCAATCAGAGCTCGCCGTTCGGACGTCACCACATCCCCTGTAAAAGAAGCAGACAAACTTGCGCTCCTAGGATGCTCGCGCTGGACGCGGGAACACTGAAGCACGCGCCTGCTGTTTTGACCTTGTCGGTGACTATAGACCTTTGCATAGCTTACCACCCGGGTGAAAAACGCTGAGTCACTGAGCTGTAGACGCATGCTCAGAGTGCCTACCACAGCCCAGCAGGCAAATATGACAGCGAGCAGAAGGCGATTTTTGCAAACGTCTATAGGGTATTCTGTCCTTATGGTGGGATGCTGTCTCTGAGCGCCTACCTCGTTGCAGGTTATTCGAGTGAAAGTTATAGACATGACAACTTGCTAGGCCTCGTTATCAGTGGCCCTCCGCTGCCTCCGCGTGACCTCGTTTCACGCTGTCTATATACGCTTTTATTGCATTAGTGGATTAGATACAGCCATAAACGGCAACGGATATTACATCTACCAGGCTTTTGACTTGTCCGGGCCGAAGAAGCTAAAGTGTAGTCAGCTGAAATTAATTTTTTTTGTTGTTGTAAATTTTCTAAATGTAGTTTTCCCGTCTTGCACTGAGTTTCCCTTCATCCTGTAGAGGACAGTGCCATAATGCATGCATCTAAGGTACGATAATCTGACCAGGCAAATCTTTGTCATCATCTTCACCTGCGCTTTTATACGTGTATATGGAGTTAAACTTCTTTGCACAGCATAAAGAACATAACGCACGCTTTAAGATACGGGCCTTTTGTTCTTAATTGAAAGAGAAAGTGTAGGCTGTTAAACAAG